GACAAAGAGCCAAGAGAGCCAAAGAGCAGGTGGGACAGTGTAAGAATGTGCTAACAGATGCAAAAGTAAAAGCTCAGCTAGGTGAAAAAACCAACACATCATCTAATCAGAGCAGTTCTGAGAACTGAGATGCTGAAAGTAAACAACAAAAGACTGGGTATCTGGAAAGAGCTCCCAGAAGAGTAGAAATGTAACAAAAATGCCTCTTCAAGAAAAGAGGGGCATAATAGTCACTCCCATGAAGTTTTTGCTTTCATAAGGCAGGACTCCTACCAGGATCCTGGTTTCAGATGTGATGAGAGAACAGAAATCAAGTTCTAAGTATGCAGTGGTATCAATTTGGAAGAAATAACAAATTATGAAGAACAACATCATGAAATGTAGAAGCCATTTATCTTTTAAAAATCCAAGTTAATAAATGAATAAGGTGAAGTTAATAGTTATAAGTTAATAAATGGAATTTGGTGAAGTGTTCACCCATAAAGGAAAGAAAGCCTACAAAATGATAAAATACTGTAGTCTGCTGAACAAGGAAAGATTACTTTGAAAATATATTGAAATCTTTGCTGGTATTAAGAGAGCGCTGTTTGTCAGATGGAAAGCAGACAGGCATTCTCATGTGAATTTAGCAGTCTCCAACCACATGGATATGGCATGGGTATAACAATCTAAATCCCATTTTATTTTAGATATGAAATGGGATTGCTGTGTTTCTGAGGTGTCGAGGTTTCTACTGAGTCAAACTCAACTTCATGGATGGTGAAACTATTTTTTTAAAGGATTTTAGACTTCAGAATAGCTGTTACTAAAAGGACTGTTCAGATGAGCTTTGAGTCAAATTTCATCTGTACGGAAGACTTCAAAAAGGATTAGCACACACACAGGGAACAGACACCAATATCCCTACTGGGGGATCACACACTCAGTACTTTCTCCATCCCTAAGAGTATCATTTGAATTCACAGCTATTACCATCATTAAGGCAACTTCCCACATTATGTTTTTCTGTTTTGAGTGCCATTTAATCATCCCATTTAATCATCTGCAGAGTAGGCAGGGTTTGTTTATTTGAGACAAAAATCTATAAATAAAGTCTATTTTTATTAATGTGGAAAAAATCATTTTTAAAAAAGCAAAAAAAAATTCAACACCAACTGTACAAAGCTAATATGGAAAGGAGAAAAAACAAATAGTCTACGAAAATGTTAAACAAATTAGGCCAAAATGAGTCACCAGCAACACCTTCAGATATGTCATAACAGCATTTAGCTATAACAGAGGGTAAAAATTGCTCTCTCTCTTCTGAAGTCCTTCCACACTTTTTGTTTAGTCCAGCTGAAGATACCCATGGTCAAGAACTGAAATTATTCTCTCTAGAAGAACAAGTATCTTCCAATACACTACTGTGTCGCCTTTAGGGAAAGCAATGTTTCAAGCAGGCAACATTCTTTTCTACAACACTCTTCTAAACTACCCAGAAACTTTGTGAAGGTAAGCTGAAGGAAAATTACTTTATTTATCAACGCAGAATCTCCTCTTTCTTTTCCACTCCACCCTCTTCAGTATGCTTTTGCTATTATGGTATATTACCTCAGGACTGCTGTTTATCCAAAGATTCTTCCAGATGTAAGAACTGGGAATAAAGTGGGGAAGAAAAGGGAAGAGGGAAAAATCTCAGGTTCGTGGCTTGTGACCATACGCTTTTTTTTCCCCCTTCTTATTGCCTTCTGCCAAATAAAAATATATTCAGAGTCTGCTATTGTATTGAAATGTCTCAGGCAGTTCATCAGTCTATCACAGCTAATATTAGTTTTAGTCATTAAACAAAAAGTGAATACTTTTTCTCTGGCTCTTATTATATATACAAATCACTCCTTAAAATTGCCTCAAAATTTACTTGCAAGTACTTCAACTGACACTAACATGATCTAGAGAACTCAGTTCCTGTAGTATATGTAGGTGCTACTACTCTTCTCTTGAAAAGCAAAGCTTGTTTATATTTAGTGTCATTCACTCACTTTCATCTTCACCCCCACAGAAGAAAGTGCCAAGATTCCACTTTCAAAAGGCTCAGACCTTTGACCAATCTGGTTTACCCCACAGGCTGAGAAAGGTTCAAAAGAGCAATAGAGGAAAAACTGTTAAGAAGAAGCACGGCTTTACTAGTCAGCACACAAAGGACAATAGTAAAGAATGCAATGAATGAAGTGTTCCCCAGACCCTCAACTCTTAAACCCACAACATTGCAAGTAAGGATGATCTACAGACTTTTCTCATTTTTAATTAATAACTATGTCTTTGTTTGGGGTACAAATATTCAAGATAGAAAATGTAAAATCATGGAGCAGAAAAAAGAAACAAGGCCTTGAATAACGAAGAAAAACAATGTAATCAGGGTGAAGCTGGAAGCCCCTGGACTGTGGTCATTGGAAGTGAGGTAGCTGGGATTGAGAAAGATTGCTGAGGAGAGTAGTGTAAATGGGGTGTTGAATGATTTAACCACTTATTTCCTTGCTCTTTGTTTGTGTTGGCATACAGGAAGTCCAGCAATCTTAACCAGAAGCTGATAAAATCTAACTATGTGGCTAGGTAGACAGAGAAGTAGAAAAGTAAAAGTGTAATACACATCAGCACAGAGTATAAATAACATAAGAAACTAGAACAGTTTTGTTTCATATATAAAAGCATAGAGACCGAAGTACTATATAACAATACAACACAGATCTGAATAAAAGTGAAAAAAATAAATTGAAAGACTTCAGCTTCAGTGACTTTAGCTCAATGGGAGGCAGTAACACTTGCAAACTTATTAAAAGGAGGTTCAAGATACCTTGTATATCTCAGTATATGAAACATTCTGTTAGTAAGTAAAGACACACTGCATAAAAAATCAGATATGGGGTCTGGCTCACCCAGTCCAGCTCTCCCACAAGGAGAGCCTGGATACAGTCATTGCTTTAGGAATGATAGATGCCAGGTCTTTTCAATACTAAAGGAACCCAAGAAAAGATGTCATGTTCAAAAAGAGTAAATGGCAATATGGAAAACAGGTAAGCAGACTGTTTTATAATAATCCATATACAACCATCCAAGAAAATACAAATCACATTCAGAAAGGCTCCAGGAGTACCTGCTTTTTTGTTGTTTTTTAAGTGGCAAGGTACCTAGTGTTTCCTCATGACAAGTACTCTGCCACAATATCCTAAACTAGTACAAGGTAAATAATTAGTGATCTTCATCTAAAATTGCAGAGCATATTCCAGTGAATCATATATAGCATTTGCATGGTTCACAAACTGCTGAAAAGAGCTACTATGCAATGCTTAGGAAACCAGGCTTACACTGCACTGCCTGCAGTATCAGCTCTGTTTTTCTGCTCAGTTCTGTCTCATTGCTACTCTCAGAACACTTAGAAATTAGAGCTCTGAATGCTCTGATTTGATATTCTGCTGGTCTGAAGTGATCAACATCTCAGTGATCTCTGCTCAGTTGTCTAACCAAAAAAAAAAAATAAAAAATAGGAAATGCAAGTATGGCAATGGATAAGTCCAGTCTTTATTGACTGGAGATGTTTGCAAAAGCAGAGAGAAAAATAGAGTGAAGGTATTCACACTGCCAATGTCTAACAAAGGAGGACAGGCAAATGCCCTATATCATCAGTAAATAGACAGGCTCTTGAGGTTCGCTCAGGGAAATAAAATTTTCCTCTATGAACAATTTGGAAATGTTTTGCTTTGTATTTCTTGCCCCCAGTTTTTCATATTTTGGTTCACTTTTTTTTGTTGTTTTTTTTTTTAAGTTTCCCAACTTGACCTTGCAATTGCAGAACTAAAAAAAAAACCTGTAAGTTCTTGCTCCGTTCAAATTGGACCACACAGCTGGATCTTCTATTTGTTTAAAAGCAAAGGTCTAAGTTCTGGAAGATGCTGAGTGCTCTCAGCTTGTTAACTTCATAGATCAGAAAATCACTTGACAGCAGTACAGAGGCAATTATTTTTTGATTACTTGGTCTGCTGTCTCTGTCTCTCTCAGGCAGACTTTTCCTGTCCTAGACTGTTCGACCCACCTCACTATCTCTGTACTACCTCTTCTTGCTTTTCTCTTCTGAACTGCACATGCATACATGGCACAGCCCCCAGATTCTTTCCTTCCCAGGACAGCTGGGAAAAATTCAACCATTACAAATTCCTCCATTTTCTTCACACAGATTTCACAGTCTTTATAACCAACAAGTGTGAAAGACAGCAAGGTGGCGGCTAAGAGTATCCAAGAGACACTTCTAGCCAGAGTAGAAGCCAGGGCGTGGCCAGAAACTGGACACTTCACTGTGTCACTTTTGGTTTTGACCTGAAACACATCAGCAGAGCTTCCACACAAACTGCATGCATTAGGAAAATGCCTTTTTTTTTTAAGGCTGGAGTCATATTTCTAAAGCATTATAAATTTTCAATACCGCATTTCAAACTGCAAAATAATTTTTAAAATTGGTATTCTAGCCAAGAATTTACTAATTCAAATTTACCATTAGACAAGTCACACATCAAGAGCTTAATGAAAAAGTGTTGGGGTAAGAGTTTAGTTAAAGACAGGATTTCAACAAGTACATTTCAAAGATATAACACAATTATAATTAACCTACCTTTCGATTTGTGCAGCTGAACACAAATTTTAAAAAGAACTGTGCCAGTCTGCTATAGTAGTAGCTTGTTCCAGACTTCACTATCTCTGTGATATAGTGTGTATGAATTATATATAACATTAGCCAAAATCTAAAGGTATAATAGCAACAAAACCAACCCCTCCATACAAGTTGAGAACTGTCTTTCAGCCAGTATACACTATTGTCTACATAAATTAATTAAACTAATAGAAAACAGAATACAATTAACATTTTTTCTTCATCTATCTTCATTTCCTAAGCAGCTCAGTTAAATAAAAAAAGAAGTGCTGTTTCTTTTTCACTGCCGTTAGTTTCACATTTGAAACAAAGACAGACCAACCTTAAGCCTTTTGATAAATATGATACCGTGGTAACTGCAGCATTCACTTTGTATCCCATTTCTCCAAGTTCCTGTCAGCCAGATGTCACTTGCAATGCAAACACTAGAAAAATATGAAATAATAATTTCATACATCATCTATGTGAGCACGAGCCAGTCAAACATTCAATACAAATTCAAACTGCTACTACACATAAAGCAAATATCATCCAAATAATATTTAGAATGATTGAAAGGCTTTTGATTTGGAAGTGTATTCTCTTAAGCTAAGTGGTCCCCAAGACCATCCAGAAAATCCAATTGTTTCATTTTAAAATGTTTTCTGCCCAAAATTATATCAAATCCTAATGTCTCAGTAGAAAAACATGGGATTGGATTGCTGACTGGGCGCCCGATGTCAAAAAGGAATCTAATTTTCCAATGGCATTTCCTCATACTGTCTCACCAAAACACAAAATTGATAAAATTTTAATGGATAATTTTCAGAGCAGGACATTAGCCATCATGCTGGGAAATAGTGCAGGAAAACACCACACAGCATCAGAAAGGCAATGTATCAGAAGACAGTTTAAATAAATATTAATAAAGCACATGCCTTATATTTTATATTTTCTCTTGCAGCTAGAAACAGAATTCAGAAGGTAAGTTTTGCAATAACAGGCACATCTCTCTTCCCTTCTTTTCCAGGGCATTTTTCACAAGTGATGTCCTTAAAATATGGGTGTGATATATTACTTAAAAGGACACAGTGTTCATCTTTTACTGGGGTGACACAGTCACAGTCAACACAGTTCTCCTCTCATTGACATCAATTGTGAAAGTCATATTGACTTCAATGACTACATCACTAACCACTCCATATAACAAAATGTTTTTGTTAGGTAACTCTCTGGAAAAAATTGCAATGCTGGGATAAATGAAACATCACCCTTCTGGATCTCCTGATGGAGCAAGGTACTGCAAGCACTTAACACCAAAAGCCATGACAAGATGAAAAGGGCTAAATCCTACTCCTGATGACAAATAAGTCATACTGAGGAGAAAGGTACTAATTAACTGTATTAGGTTATCACTCAGTAACAATGTAAAATGTGTGTATGGAAATGTGCTATTTAAAATGTGTTCTTCTCTGAATAATTTTCCTTTCTATTAAGTTAGGTCATTAATCATTTAAATTTGAGACTTATTTAGAAAATACAAGTGGACAGGTGAAAAAAAAAAGTGAAATAAGATTTTACTAACCTTTGTAATTTATTTTATAATGAAATTGTAACACAGAGGACTATGTGGTGAACTAGACTGACTGAGCTTTCAAGCACCCATCTCTTGTCATTTATTACTAGTTGAGTTTTGAAATCTGTATACATATATATTCAGGGTATTCAGGTGAGTGTGTATGCTAATAGAGAAAGGAACAGTAGCACTAATGTTTACAAGGCTATATCTGCTTTCATCAAGAGTTAAGTCTTTAAAAACTTTAATAAATATCTAAGTAAAACTTCCAAGACATTAAAAAGACCACAACAAAAGAAAATCACAGTGATTAAAATGGAGGTTTAATTTTCTGGGAAAAAAAAAAAAAAAAGCCTGTCCATGCCACATGCCAAGTCTACCACAGGTTGGTATTTTTCTTTTACTGTAAACTGAAAAACATCACTGAAGTCTTCATGATTGGCTAAAGACTAGTGCTTGTCATGTAGCCAAAGATACTTCCATAGCTACAGCTTTCATTCAGAAATGCTCACTTTTATTTCACTGCTCAGAGGCCAGAGCCATTGTGAAGAGGAAAAAAAATAATATTTTGGTAGAGCTGTTTGTGCTTCACTGCACTTCTCTTGCAGTCAGCCTTGGTAGGAGACTTCTCCTGATTTAGCCAATAAAATGCTTTTGCACAATGCAGAAGTCATGCTGGAGCTTGCTAACACATGGCTTCCCAAAAGCCCAGCTCTGAGCTGAACATAATCAACCTATAAGTGCCCATCTCATGGACCAATCAGTGAGTTATACCTTCCCCAATGCTTCTGGCATTTTTGCAACAGCAATCTACCAAACTGTCACATCTAGTCTATCCTCTTCACCAGTCGCCTTTACTCCTCCTGTAACACAAAGGAGTTCCCCTTTCTAAAATAGGAGGGAAACAGAAAGCTAAAAAGATGGAAGGCTGTGCTGGAGGCTTCTTTGGTGTATCAGAGTAGGAGAAACAACACCTCTCTGGCTCTTTCATTCATCTTTCCCGCTCCATCTTCTGCAAGTGGAAGGCAGTCTCCATTCTATCTGTTAATCAAAGGCAGCAGAAGAGAGTTCTGGTTGAATTGCATAAACATTCAACTGGGAAGGATATTCAGTGCAGGAAAGAGATTTTCCAGAGAGGACTGAAATTCTCAGAGGGTTGGCAAGGTGTATTGTCTTGATCTGGCTACTCAGAGTAATGAAATCAAAACAGACTTTTATTAACAAGTCTTTTCACACTTCCTCTGCTCTCAACAGCTGAGCTCAGCACTGAAAGAGAGACTGTAAAGCAGTAACTTTGAGAAGCTTTCTGTGCCTCTTTCAAATGAAGCATGCATTGGTTACCTAACTGTGCATGAGTACAGTACAGCACCGGCATCAGCTTCTGCCAAAATTCTGTTTCTGGAGGAAACTGCAAATTTGACAGATTTGCCATCCTAAAGTCATAATGTCCTAAGAATGAAGAGGAGAGTGAAACAGATAATTCCCTGTCCAGATTTGCTCCACATCCTGGCTGATCTGTGCTGATAGCCTTTGGTAGTAGCTCAAGGGCTTGAAAGTAATCTTTAATTATCAAATTGACTTATAAGTCTATTTCCAGCTTTGCAAACACCACTGAACTTCAACTTTAACCAGAAAAAAAAGTACACTGAAAACACACCACAGCTGCAGACACTTTTCTTTCTCATTTAGAGAAAAACTATAAATCTGAGATTTGTAGTTTTAGCTGTCTCTTTTTCTCCTCAAAAGGATTTCACTTCTTTCAGGGCCAGCTGAACCTCTCTTTCCTGGTTCTTTCCTTTCAAGGCTTTGAAGTTTCTAAGTAAGTGGATTAGGTGGGTAACTATCTGTTCAAGACTTTGTGGGACATATTCAGAGTAGCCAGCACCAGGTGGGTCGATACTGGAGCAAGCACAGCAGGATTGCTCCTGAGGCTCCTGGCAGTTTGAATACCTGGTGCATCAGTGCAACCAAATCCTGTATTTTGACTACTCAAATCCCTTGTATAACTTGATGCTGGTTACCTGTATCAGGCACTTCATTAAATAAAATCTGAAATTATTACATTAAGTTCTTCACACAATAAAGGAGCCTTGCATGCAGAAATAAGCTGTGTTGGTTTCCACAAGCTGGACTTATTGGTCAGCTACAGGGAGAAGTTATACCATAAACAGCACTTTGCAATATTTAAGTTTGAAAATGTGCAACTGGGCATAAGTTGGTTTTATGTGTTCTCTTTGCTTAAAGGTTGTTTAGAGATACATTTGCATCTCCAAGACAAAGTACGTGTTAATTACCTCATGTTTGCACTGTACATTGAGGAAGGAAAGCTATATAAGTGCTAAGTGCTATTAGCATCATCCCCTTCTATTTTTCTCTTTCAGCTTTTAAGTGAATATAGTGCTTGTGAAAGTTGTTGGATTGACAGCCCTGGAGACTGAAGTCTAAAGTGCAGCACACCCGCTGAGCCAAACAGAACTAAAACGTACAAAAGCTTCTCACCAAATTTTAAATACATGCTTCATTTAGCTATTGTTCTATGATGGCATGTAATACTACCACTGAAAGTTTTGCTGCTCCCATTTATTTGTTCTAAACATCAGTTCAGACTCTTCCTTTATTTCCTACTTTTAAAAACCATTTCTTGCTGACGGGCAACACCCCAGAGACCGCTTCCCTGCCTTCAAAATCCCACATTACGATGGAATGCTGTTGAAGCGTAACTTCATGCTGCTGCAGTCAGATACAATGGCGCGTCCTGGCATTCACTTTGCACGTCACAGAAAAGTACATTAGCTAATCTCACACAGTTTTAGTACTGATCACACTAAGTGCTTGTCTGCAGAAATGCTATTCTATATTATACTCTAAATCTGAGGCAAGGAGACTTCTGATGGAAGATCCGCTCCTCTAGACAGGAATACTAGTATTGCTTAGAAAACTAAGTCAATACTTAAATAACATTTCAATGTTTCCTGAAAAATAGGTCATCTTATTTTTATTTAAACACCAGATTTCCAGGAGTACACCTCTGACCACTGAAAGAGGTTTGGAGGTTTTTTTATTTACATTTTTAAAATCCTTTATGGTATACCAAAAGACAAATCCCACTTTCTAAGATGCCTCTCTTCGCACAAGTACATTCAGATCACTTGTAAAGCTTTTTCTTAATTCCAGCAAGAACAACTGCTCTCTCCAGGAGACAGCCATTCCTGTAAACAAGTTCTCCAAATTACCCAAATGTTTACTGGCTGTTGGTTTCACAGTCTCCTTTTACCCACTGTCTACTTGCCTCCCACTTGAGGTGGGCCCGTTTGAGGTTTTAAGTGGAAGGACTGATCCTAGCTGAGTAGAGTGAGCACATGGGATGCAGAACACCTGCAGTGTGTAGAGCTGATACTAACAGCTGCTCTTTCAGATGCCTCCAGAAGATTCCTTCACTTGTCTTGACAGGTTCCAAAAGGCAAGTTTGGTACCTGGGTCATCTTCAGTCCTGCATAACTTCAAGACCCAGCACTTACAGAAAGTAATTCCTTTCCAATTCCAATTACTTTCCAGTTCGGGAAATTTCTCAGGGCTTCTTGTCAGGGCAGGCTAGTCTTTTATGATTTCCAGCCTGCAATGCTGCTTCTTTCTATTTCATCTTGACTTGATGTCATTAGTCTTCTTTCACAGAAACCTGAGCATTCTTTTCCTAATTTATCTAGATGGTACCCTGACAGCAGCTTCTTTGATCAAGACTTTGCCATTTATGTCTCTTCTCCCGTTAATCATTCTCTGAAATGAGACTTGTAGTAAAAAAAATTAAATCAAGTCTGACTGCCTTCAAATTTCCTGGCTTTCTGGGATTCTGGGTGCTCACTTAGGCCAGGCCCTTTGGAGACACTGTGCTTTCTCTGGTATATTAAACAGGCCGTTTGGGCTATTTTTCCATACTAGAAGGTCAAAACAGGTTTCACCACTGGTGAAACTAAAGTGACATTTACAGGATGCTGCTATGACATCCAGACACTTTGTTGTTTGATAGTTCTCCCAAAAAGAATCCACCTTTTTCTACTAAAAAAAATGAATAAATTAAATCTGGAGGCAAAGTGGATACAAAATAATTTTTCTTGTTTTTGCTTCTTGGAAAACAAGAATTCTCTATTATGCAAAATGTCTATGCTGAACTCCAGGTTCCCAGCTGCTCTCTTTCCTTCAGATATTGATTTTCTGTCACTTCATATGTGCAGAGAAAAAAAAATAAAAGACTAATGATTTGTTGGAAAGCGATATTTAAAAAAATCTTTTTATAAATGTGGTCTACACCTTATGTTTATCTGCCTCATGTTTTGTGAGGTCTGATTTGGAATGAAAATCTCCAGCTTGTACAATGCTTCAGGATCTCTTCTCAGGAAGATGGTCCATCTCCTGCTGGTCAGACTTGCTCTCTCTTGCAAGTTGAATTCCAAGTCCAAGGCATCTGTGGCCTGGTTCCTAAAAGTCTAAAGAGCCAACCAGGACCAACATCCTCATTTCTCTGGTCAGTGGAAGTCTCATTAAGAGTACAGCTTATCTGTGTGTGAGATGAAACTTCCATCAACCGTAGATGATAAAATAAACTGCCCCAGGAAAATAATAAATATCACAATATTTAGCATCTTCCTCATCATTGAGAAGAACATTCCTTTATGACTTTGCTGGCATAAGCATAGATATGAGCCTAAACTTACTTAAACAAGAAGTGTTACTGACTACCTTCTTCCAGTTTGACAAAAAATAGGGGAAAAAATGACACGATGTTTGATGTGCAGTCAATTATTTGGTTCAAGGCCAGAAGGTGCTGAGGTTTTACAGTGCCCAATATAGGAATTTTAGAAAAGTATGTATGTGTCTGTATATAAATTAATTGTAATGCACCATACAGATCTACCTAGATATGGAACAGGGTTAAAAACAAACAAACAAACCAACATTAAGACTTTTTTGACATCTATGACAGACCAACATTTGTGCTGAAGCCAGAAATAATCATCTAGCTTTGTCAAACACTACTGGTTTTCACAAGAAATAGTCTGATAAATTCAGGGCAAATCATCATCTGGTTTCCTTTAGTACAAGTGGCTGCATATAATGCATGTTCTTGCTATTAAGTTTAAAGCATTACAAGACCGAAATGTTCTGTATCTCATCTCAAATTTTCAAACAATCCAATATCCAGTCTATGTATAGATATATTCTTGCTGTTTAATCTCTTAAAAATCAATCAATATTAATGTGTCTGCCTTAAACTTTTAAGGTCATTGTCTCCCTTCTGACATTTTAAACTACATCAACATCACATTATATCATTATAGACTCATGAAGCAATGTACTTTTACATTTTTTGCAAGATAATGTCTCTTTTGTGTTTCAGTTTTTATCATAATATAAATCTTGAAATGTAATTTGCATATCTTTTGTTTAGCGAAGGAGACCCCCATTTAAGACTATGTAATTTTAATACATAGACTTAAAAGTGGATGACTTTTTAAAGGAAATGCACCAAAATATTCCAATTTATTCTTCAGCTGAAGAGGTTGCTCCATCAGTAAATTAGTAAATTCCCTTAACAATACACTTGCTAACAATTATGGTCTGCCTGCCTTGGGCTCACTTGACAGTAGGGTTGCCATCTGTTGAGGAGTCCATTCATGGATTTTGAAGGCTTTTACTTTAAACATTTAAAAATGCCTCTTTGCTCTTCAGCCTTCCCTGTACTTGTCCTGTCTTTCCTGTCCTCTGTTCACCCCCCTTCCCACCCTGCCAGGAGCACCATTGTTCTCCCAGCACTGAACTGTCCCTCAGCAGCCACATCCCAGCAAAAAGCTTTCAGGCACATGGAGTTCCGAGGAAGTCTGGCCCATTTTTAATGTCCAAGGTGCACAAGTAGAGAGGAGGGAGGACACTTACAGACAGGAATGGACAGAAATGAACAGGATCAATCAAGAAACTCAAAAGCAGCCATGAAGGAAACAAAATCAAGACGATGAATGGGAAAGGGATGGTAGGAGCTCTGGATAGATGGATATTTCATGAATTCCTTCAATAAATAGGGTACCTCTAGGGAAATTCAACACCTGGCAATCTTAGTGGATAGTGGTGCTGCAAAGAAAGAATAATGTTCACCCCTCTGGTAAATTCAAGCAATTAAACCCCCTTAAAAAAAAAGGCCCTCTTAGGCTTTCTGCCCAGTAAACTCACAGCGAAAAGCAACTTTAATAAATGTTATAAATCTCACCTCTGAGCCAACAGGAAATTCAAATGTTTTGCATGTGCATGAGCCAGGGAGCTGCTGAAACAAAAGGTAAATGTGGATATTAGAATAGGTTATGCCCATACTCAGACTGGACAGCAGTAGATGCATGAGGCTCATAGAGATGACAGATTTTTTAAAAGCATTCTTTCTAGTGCCATCTTTGACCATTTATGTTTGTGTTACAGAATTCTCCTTTCTTTGTGAGTGGACAAATTTGCTTAGTGATGAGTTTTCTGGTTCAATTAATTCAGAATTACTCCTTACAGTACAACATTATTAGAAAGCAGTTTTGAGTTTCAGTGTCTTAGACATAAAACTAAATAAAGAAATGGCAACAAATATCTGTGGTTTCTAAAATGAAAAGATCAAAGAAAAGAGACTGCAGAGAATTTTCGATCAACACCCTGACAAGGGGTGTTGGTTTTAATAAACAGTAAGAATTTTAGGCCATTATTAAGTATGAGATGCAGCCTCAGCTGTGTTTCTAATTTCCTTTCTTGCCTTTACTGCTGTTGTATAAAGCTCTGTAGTGACAAAAAACATTTATTGAAAAAATCTGAGCACACTGTTCAGGTTTACGTTATTTCACCTGCCAATGAGAAATATTTGCCTCTTTGCCCTTCATGATGCCAAGAGCTGCAGGTACATTCTGTATATGGGACAAATCACTGGACAGAGATGCACTTGTAGAAGTGAATAAGAATTTTTTTATTGAGTCTGAAGACTAAATGATCACAGCACACAGTTCCTTTTGATTGTTGCTCTTTTAAAGCTGTACATAAACACAGCCAGATCCTTGTGCACATGTTTTAAAAGTGAATTTAAGTATATAAAAAACAATGTATATTTGGCAACATATCCTGTGAGAAGGATGTGTTTTATGAAAATTTTCTGGGAAGATGTTGTCTACCAAGCTATAACTACTATACCTTTTGTCTATCACACACAACAGGCTTATTAAAACAGAGAAGACCATGAAAATTAGAACGAAGAAATAGTGAAGGAGAGACTGAATGCTGGATGGAAAAAAGCTATATTTGCTGCTTGAATTTTTCATAGAATCAGGACAGAGGTCTGCTTGTTCTTCCACTCTTAGTTTTTGGGGCAGTTGGGCAGAGAATGTAGTTATGAGAGAAGTACCTTCAGAAATCTCTTCATCACCCTCAAAAAAATCTGGGAATTAATTCCTTTATTACAAGAGGGACACAAGAAACAAGGGTCTCTTTGTTATAATGACTCCATCTCTGGCTTTCCACCTATAGTATTTTTCCTCAGGGGATTATCAAGATTATTAGTAATTATTACTAGTAAGCCATTACTATGAATAATGGTAATTACAATATCATTTAAGGACCCTAGTCATAACCACTGTGGAAGACTTATGAGAATAGTGAGGACCAATGCTTTGCACATGTCTGAAAATGAACAAACACAGTTATACTCTGGAGAGCACAACACTCAAAGCCTTTCACTCCTAAATGGCCAATGGCAGCATCAGACCCAGCATTTGTCCACAGACAAACGACTGACAATTTTTAACAACCTTTTTTTTGGTTTTAAAATAGAACAAAGTGAAAACAGGAGGATTGGTGGAACCACATAATCTCATCTCTAGCCCCAAAATGTTCTGGTTGTGTGACATTTCTGTTTACAGTAAATACTGTTTTAAAGAGCAACACAGATCCAGACACCAAATGGATCAAGGACACATAGAGAACATTCAGCTATTATGGATATTCCATTGAAGGGCAACAAGATTTTGTCCAATCCAGTTGGCTTGTTCTGTGTCCCTTATTTGACAGAATTCTAGTTTTTTCTTTAAGAGAGAGCAAAGCCCTGCCTGCTATGATTTAATGTCTAACATATGCTCAGAGTGGACACACCTTAGTTTTCCCACTTTTTATATTTCTTTTTATGGATTTCACTCAGGAACACATACCCTCCCTTCTCTTTTTGTATCAGCTCTAAATCCTTGTCTATCTTGCTTTCTATCTTAAGTGTCATGACAGAACTCTTCTAAAAGTACTCTGCTGACAATTTCTGATCTGGTTTTCTACTAAGATAAGCAGAATAGCATTTATAACCTTTTAACTTCACATATAACTTCATAATTTTAGTTTACAACTATATAAAATTTTGTAAGGTTTTATTTTTAAAGGATGGTGTTATCTTAACATGAGCTATGAAGTTGATATATATATACACATACACTATGTGAGCACATATACATATTAAATATGTATATCATTATACACAGACATATGCTTCTGACAAAACATGGAGAGGACTTTCCATGCTACAAAAAATGGTATTTGCAACTTCAATCCAGAATATACTGCAAAGGATATTAAAATGTGTGTTGTTCTATTTCAAAGAAGAACATTTTTCAATGTAACATGCTGCAGCTGTATTTGTTAAAATTTCCTGATCGTGGGGGTCACTGTAAGAAACTCAGCACTACCTTGACAAAGGTGACCAGAAGCACTCTGCCCAGAAGTGCCCCTCCCTCTGCATTAGAGGAGGAATTGTAGGTCAGATGTTCACAGGCACATCCATCAAAGCCAAAAAAATAGTTTTGTAACACTATATTTAAGAACCTAAAATCACTCCAAAACTTACAGAAGCTGGTTATCCAACCTCTTTATTACTCTGTCATTACATCTACTTAATTTCTGGTTCAGTCCAGATGCAGCTGAATTTCAATATACAAACACTGATTTTTGGTTGTCAATCCTCACATACCTGTTTACATGAATTTAACAATGCTGCAGGGCTTAAAAAGATAAGCATTCAGGGCTGGAAACATGTGACAACTACTGCATCAAAGCTTGCACAAAGTACAGAGCTATAGCCACTTAGGCCAGCTCTGTTGTCTTGAGTACAGAATCTTTTCCAATGCCTCATTCTTAAAAATTAGGTAGGCCTGGTAAGCTATATCTATTTGCATAGAAAAGTAACTTCAGTCTTTCCTGTTGCCTAAATTAAGCAAGTTTTAAATTAATACCACAAACAAGGTACTTACTAAGGAGGGAAAAATGTACATCATGGGAAGCCCTATTCATTTCAGCTACACAATTTTGGAGTTTGGTTTAGAGCTTTATTGTTTTTAAATATATTTTCATGCAACATTTTTGCCTGTTAGCTCATTTTCTTTTTCCCAAATTCAGCTAAAATCTGCTTTGGATATGAATTTTTGCATAACAATATTTTTAAACTTTTCAATTTAGACTCATGGAAATTATCAAACTATTATACGCCCCCATTCTTGTGTGAAATTCAAAGGTACCTCTCACAGCTTTTAAGCAGTGTGCTCCCCAAAAGAAGAAAGGAAGTGCAAAAATATAATTGTTAGACTAAGCCTCAAATTTGCTTTAATGTTTGCTCATTTTTAAGAACTGATGCACTCTCAGTGCCCCAGTTCTACATCAGCCCTGAAACACACACAAGACACATTCTTTACTTTGTTGCTGCATGAGACCCTTTTTACATTAAACATTTTTGCTTGGTCCTTAAGCAATAAGTTAGGCAGAGAGAGTGTGACAGACAAGTTGCTATTTCAGACTTGAAACAGCACCTGGAGGGCCAAGACCTTTCCCACTTTAATAGTAGACAGAGAATCATGGCAGTGACCAGGGTCATATGGTGGGTGAGGAAGTCACTGATACTGAAAGATCAGATGTCACCGTGACAGCTGTAATAACCAGGGCTTACTTCCTTCAGCTAAAAAATATCCACAGAATATGGTGAATACACTGCTGCAATATGCACCTCTTCTACCTTTGTGTCATGCTGTAAACGTTTAACTCCTGAAGGCTCACGGTGCAAGAACAGAGCAACTAACCCTCACAAGACATTATAAGGGAGATATGACAGAAGAAGAGGGGCTTTCTTTTTAATTTTGAAAATTCAGCAGAAAAGTTATTATTTGCTTGTTATTGACAATTCATTCCTCTGAGATAAAACAACTTAGTTACTAGAGGATCCCAAGGAGACAGCAGGCGGTGATGAACAGAACAGCATTCAATTGCAGCAAGTGAACATCATAAAACATGCAACACTGGATTAAAAAGTAACCTTAAACTGTTTAGGGTACACAAAGGCAGCCTAGTCAAAACACTTCAACAATGATTTAAAATCTCAAGTTAGAGGCCAGTTCCAGCCTTCAGGGAAGCCTTCTCTGTTCATAAGGAGCTTAACTAATCATAACTTTCCATGACTTATCAGAACTGGATGCAGCGTGTCACAGCACGATAACTGAGCTCTGGAAATGTAACAAAAGATGTCTTTTTACAAAAATAATGGTGAGACTAAACCCCAAATTTTAATCTTTGAACTTGGTGGGGGAATAACATCCTGTTACTCATTAAGTGTTTCCATTAGAATGCAGGGAGTCTTAGGCAGGCAGCTCCTGTTTGTGTTACTATGATGTGGAGGGCAGCACATGTATCAGGAAAGGAGCAGATTTCTGAAACCTGGTCCCAGGATGCTGCACAAAGTGCATCACCAGGAAACAGGACAGCCAGCCTCAGACACACTGCATCTCTGCAGATAGCTAGCTATAGGAATATTAAGTCTACCTAAAAAATAACATTACTTTCGGTTCATCTAATTGCTCAGTATTAACAGCCTAGTGTTTAAGAAAACATGCAGTATTTATTTTCCAATATGAAAAAACCTCTAGCTTTAAGAAAGCTTCAGAGTTAGAGTTAAATGGAGCCCAAAAAGGACCAGATTTCTATCTGTGTTTTCTTCAGTGTAGTTCCAGATGCATTAAGACCTCGGCAGAGACCTGCAAATATTATATACAGCTTTCTTTTATCTTCTGGAAAAAAAGGGGGGGAAATGGTATGAAAGAATGAAGCAGTGCCAAACACTACAAGAAAGGCTTAATAAATAGAGCCCAGGGTCACAATGTTGCTCTTATTTGCCCTGAAATATATCACTGAAGTTCTGTATATTCATATTTGTTTACATTATAAATGTACTAAATGAGCTAATTATAGTGATCATAATTTACAATTAAAAACAAACAGTTA